ATATAGATATATAAATATATAAATATATACGTACACATACAAACATGTGTGTGTGTGTGTATAGATAGACAGATAGATAAGGAATGGCCAAGGAATCATTTACAAAAAAAGATTTATAATGTCAATTTTTCTAACAAACAGACATTGAAACTTACAACACCAGCGCCTGAAGTCACGTAGTATGAATCAGTAATGTGTTCCCTAAGATCAACACCCCAGTCTGAATGTAATGTTGATAATATCAGTGCGTCAAATTTCTGAATATCCTCATCATCTGCAAGCTTATCACGGAACATTCTGCAAGCCTCATATAACCAGACCTTAAAATTCATAGAAGGAAAATTAGTGACCATAAATAATAACTGAGAGTACACAAGAAAGTGCCTCCACTTAATGACAGTCAGATTAAAATATTGCCAATATTTTAACATCTGCATAACCATGACAATATGTTAACAGCAGCAATCTCCACTTTAACAGTTACAACTAACTTCAAGCAAAGGCTGAAGTGCTGCATCTTCTGCATCTATCTGGTATCTCAACAGTCCAAGGACCCATCGTGTTAGGTCCCGAGGTGTAAAAAGATAATGGCTGTAGTCATCTACGCTGAAGGCATCACGCAACTAACAAAAAAAGGAAAAAGAATAAACATTAAAAACAACTTACGAGTATACACATACTATAAATAGAAAGATATATAGATTGATAGAGAGATGGTTAAACAGACACAGATATATAGATGTACATAAATAAGTAGATAGACCAGTAGATACAGATTTAGACAGACAGACAGTTAGATAGAAAGATATATAGCTAGACTGATAGACTGAAAGGCATGGATATGATATGTATCTGGATATGATCCCTTATAATGACAAAAGAATGCAAGACAATAATGTCTGACAACAAATTATCATATCAGGGATACTCTGTCACAGGACACCTACGTGATGATAAACATTGACCATGGATGTGGCTAGCTGCTGTTGCTTGGTCTGTGCTCCCCAGACCTTATGCTCTGGAGCCACCACAGTGAGCACTGACCGCAAGTATGCTGCATACACGTTCACTAGCTGGTCACGTTCAGGGTACCTGCAATAATATGCACAGCCTGGAACTCAGTTTCAAGGAGAAATAACACAAAGATGAGCAGTACAAAAAAGCGGATATGACTGGATTATTCAAGATCTATAGTGTTGATTGTAACTGGCACATTAAATTTCTGTACAAAGCATGCACGTGTACAAACCAGTGTGTACATATATGTGCATATATATACATACATACATATATACATACATTATATATATATATATATATATATATATATATATATATATATATATATACATATATATATATACACAGATAGTCCCCTACTTAAGAACATTCTACTTACGAACATTCCATACAAACAAACAAAATTTTTTAAGTACTAAAGTCCAAAAAATTACTTGAAAGATGCTAGCAAACTTCAAATTTCCTGGGCATGAATATAGTTCAAGAGTCTGGTACTGTATACTCAGTAAGTCCCCAACTTAAGAACATAATGGGGACCGAGAGGCTGTTTGTAAGTTGATTTGTTTGTATGTCGAAAGTCGGGTCTCCATTACCTTTTTTCCCATTGTTTTAAAGTTTTGTTTACATTAAGAATACCTGTAAATAAATCCCAATAAGTATGACATACCTTATACAGTACCAGACTCTTGAACTATATTCGCACCCGGGAAATTTGAAGTTTGCTAGCATCTTTCAAACAATTTAGTACAATTTAGACTTTAGTACTTAAAAATTTTTGTTTGTATGTATGGAATGTTCATAAGTAGAATGTTCTTAAGTAGGGGACTATCTGTATATACATATATATATATATATATATATATATATATATATATATATATATATATATATATATATATATATATATATATATATATATACACATATATATGTGTGTGTGTGTGTGTGTGTATGTATGTGTGTGTATATATATATATATATATATATATATATATATATATATATATATATATATATATATATATAATATTATATATATATATATATATATATATATATATATATATATATATATATATATATATATATATAAATATATATATATATATACATATAAATAATACATATATATATATATATATATATATATATATATATATATATATATATATATATATATATATATATATATATATATATATGTATATAAATATATATAAATATATATAAATATATATATATATATATATATATATATATATATATATATATATATATATATATATATATATATATATATATACACTGTTATAGGGCACACCCAACTGGGTGATTCTTACGTTTTTGTTATTTTGTTTTACTAAAAAGCATGCTTTAAACGTATATATAAAGAATTTACATTACTATATTCCTTATTCCTCTCCTTATACATTATAAAATTTGAGAGCCATACCCAATGGATGCAATCCTAACTATGGATGTGAAGCGAGTCGAGAGTTTATGCCGTCCTAATGCTGACCCACTTGTCATGGATGCTACAATTTGCACTCCTTCCAGCCCAACCCATTCCAAGTTTTGGTCATAAAATCCATTGTATGTCACAACCTGGAATCACATTTTAAAATCAAAATCAGAATTCAAGGTTATCCAGAAAAAATGTATGCAGACATCTTATGATCAGGCAAGTTATTAACCCATATAGATGGCTTCACATGTGAACTAGTGACTGATCCTGATTTCCCTATTCCTTGAATTGGCAGTAATTTTTTTTTGCTTTTTAATACAATTGATATTGATACTGCTAATATTGTTATTGATGTTATGATTATTAAATTGTTATTAAAATTTTGATAACATATAACCCTTTGCCAACAGGCATGCCATGCCATGCCCACTGTGAGTTTACTAATTTGATTGTTTTTACACACAGATGGCTACACTTGTACTAAGTCACCAGTGAGCCAATTATGAGTACTGCCTGTCTCGCCTGTTCACTCTTTTCTTTAATTTTTGAAAATATTTTACATTATCTTATTTTGCTATTACTAATGTTTATAACATTATAGTAATTATAATGTTTATAATAAAAATAACACCATCGATATTCATAGCACTAGTAAAAAATATATTTTCCCACCAATTCAAGGGAAGGTGAAATCAAATAAGGCAGAGCCATCTATATGTAGTGACATTTTACAAAAAAATATAAAAAATGAGCACAGCATTTTCCCCATTTTTTATTCATTTTCCCCACTGGCAATGGGTTAAGACACTGACATAATGCAAAAGACCCTTTCTAAAAGTTGAGGAAAAGGGTAAACAGGGGAGATAGGTAGGACTAATAACTGACTCCTTGGTGTCTAGGTACTTGTAGAGCCATCTATGTGTAAATACAATAAATAAACTTGTATTACAGTGGGTATGGCATGTATTCTTGCCATACATGCTGATTGAGTTAATGAGCTATATCTTGCATCTAGGTAAAAAAAAAAAAATACCCTTAGAAAACTAATTTTAAAATGTTTTTAAACATACTTATGATTTACTTTCTGCCAAAATTTTCACATTTAATTATTCTCACATGTCAGACCTCATCAGATATAAATGTATTTTTTTCATTCAGAATCTGTGATACTCATCAAAGAGTACTCAAACATATTGTAGAAAAAATACAGCATCTAGATCATCAACTCATCAATATCTAACCTACTTGATCTAACTCAGTCAAGATCAATAAAACCTTTACAAAATCATAAATGTATTCAGAATTAAAACTTTCACAAATGCAAGAAAGGAAAACCACAATACCTGCTGTAAAAATGTAATCAACTGGCATGTGCCCCATTTATCTGGCTTGGGGAGGTTCAGGTCCTTCAAATATACAATCAACCTCTCACAATCCTTTGGACGGTATACACGCCCTGTGTTGGTGGATATCACCATGCACATCTGTTGGGGAGGAAAATGAGATCTGTTTCTTATACTCATAGGTCTCTCATTAGTGGAATGTCATGATTCTTTTTCTTGGCTAAATAATGAATCACAATGTATCACAATGTCTCTAAAAAAAATAATGGGTTTGAACATGTTCAGTATAAATTATATATATACTCAAAGAATGTCTGATGAAAAGAAACGTGGTCATTATGTCCCATGAAAAGGACTTCTTTCAAACCTGAGAAAGTTTCTGTAGGATATGTTGAGGAGCAGTATATGCACTGCAATGGATCATTGTTGCTTGTGTGCTCCTTAGTTTTGAGAAGCAGTGATGAAGCAGCAGACTGAAATCAAAAGGAGCATAAGACATTATTTCAAACCTTTAAAATAAACTTTATGGATGTTTAAATTAAATTTGACACCTATGAAACCAAAGGGTCCTCTGCACTTAATTGATCTATAAAGTTAGAATTAGTTGTTCATGACAACTCATTTGCACATTACCTTTTTCCACATCCTTCAGGCCCAACCAAGATGAACGGCTGTTGTGTCTCCATCTCAAGCCATGGACTGAAGTAATCCAAAGAGCACAATGCATCTGATGTCAATATCAGGGGCATTTCATCTGTATCAGCTCCAATATTATCTGCGGATTCTGATGAGTAAGTTTCTAGACGGTCTCGGGCAGAATCATAGTAAATATTCAAAGGTTTTCGTTGGTCAGGAATATGTTCACCAACCCATGAGTAGACCTCTCGTGCAAAATCTGCCCTAATGTTTTCAGGGAGATTGCCACCTAGACCTCTTACCAGTGCCAGGGCAAAGTGTACTTTACTTGTTACCCCAGGCAGATGGGAGAGGCCATTCAAGACCCATCCAACTAATGTAGTTTCCACTTGGGTTTCTCCTGCACGCAGCACCCACTCAAGTGCCTTGAAAAAGTGTTCTTCAATATAAGGTTCAAGATACTTCCTAGTGCTTTCTTCTTGTGAGGAAAGCCATGCACTAACAACTGCCTGGATGTTGGTATCTTCATCACTTAAGAATATCATTCCCATTCGCGAGATTGTAGCTGGCGATGCAGATGAAAGATCATGGGTTTCAAAGAGGAAATTTACATTAGGTCCAAACTGAATTCTCTCACCAGATGGCATAGTTAGCAGTCGATTGTCATCCAACACAGAATTGAGTGATTCAATCCACTCAGGATCAATGTCTCCATCACAAATGATCCAGGAAGTAACTTCTGTGGGTTCCTTCACCACTTGACGTGCAGAAGCTGTCAAGACACCATCTGACCATTCTCTCGTGTCATGATCAATATGCCCGAGAAGCTGCTGTCTGGGCATGGCCTTAGGGTTCATGACATATTTCTTCACCTGTTGTTCCATCCTGAGTAGAGCCTGACGCAGAGTTTGCCATAATGTTGTTTTTCCTGATCCAGAAGGACCTACAATTACCACTCCCATACGCTGCTGAAGCTGTTCATAAAGCTCTAGTGCCTTCTTTATTTGCCTGTCATTTGGTATGAGACCCATTTCAGTAAAGACTTCTTGGAGAACACTAGCTAGGTCTTCATACCCTACCCCCCTGAATTTCACATCAGGGAACACGTCTTTCACCAAGTCATCAAATCTGAAATATTCAACATATTTTTACAAGCCATGACAGATATACCTTATTGGATGATTCTGCTGAAAAAAAGGAATCACTTTTTAAAATTTCTATATGCACTTTATCACTTACACAATACATACACATGTAAAACCAAATGAAATAATGTACTCTGTAAACAACCATCATTATGAAATACTCATTGCCTATCATCCACTTGTTTTCTCCAGGTGATGCTACATCCACATCATGAATAAACTAGTCATTCATCTAGGTGACATGAGTCTTGCCAAGGGCATATATTTGATGCCAGGCACACAAGAATAGACACATAATACCACCCAAGTACCTTTCAGCCTCTTTAACTCATGGCCTATTGTGAAAATAGTATTTCATACAAGTCTTGATGCAAACATACACCCATTTTGTTCAGGCTCAATATCACAATGAATAAGACTATCCAAGCTAGTCACACAAAAGTGAGCAGCATGTACTTACAACAGTTAATGGCAAAAATTGGAAGGAATGGGTTAATGGCATAATCCAAAAAATTATGCACTTTACCTTGAACTGTCTGAGAAGGTTAGTTTTGACAGTGTGTTCAGCCTCAGAGCTTGCACCACAAGTTCTGATTCAATTGTTAAGCTGATCCCAGATGCCTTTTCTTCATCTGACAAGGTTTTTCTGTAATGGAAAAATATGTCTAATATCAGAATCATGGCTTTCAAGAAAAAATAACGTCATTCATCTTTGGACAAATTTCTTTCTACCATTTTTTCACTGTCTATTTGTTTTTATAATAATTCAAATTCTTATGGCAATATTTTTTCCCTCTTTTATCTATTTCAATTTCATTAATTTTATAGAAACACACTTTCATGTGCATGCGTATACTGACCTGTATAATTGTAGAAGGTTTCCTGAGCCCTTCAGCACTGTTTTCAAGGCTCGCAGACCCCAATCATAGTGCTGCTGTGGTGTCAGGAGCTCTTTAGACAGTGTGAAAATGGCCACCAGTTTACGCCCTAGGCTCTTGGCTTCCTTGAAACCCTCAGAAAACAGGATGACCTCTGCAATCAGTTCATTGTCAGGACGGGACATTGCAACAGGCCGGAACAGCTGCTTCAAGTTGTCTGGCAGCTTTTGTCGGCCACCATAGCCCTTGCCGGCTGGGTTGAGTGTGATAAAGATCCCTGAGTTTGGATCAACAGGAACCTGTAAATGTATCACAAGTTGGAGATCTTCAGAAAGTTATGATAAGAAATTATTAAAAAGCAATATAACTCATTAACAGTAATAATAATATTCAACTTAAAAATGATGGTAATCATAATAACAACAATGACATTAAGCAAAAAGGTCAAGAGCTTCCCTATGCCTGTAAAAAAAAAAAAAGAAAGACACAAAAAAAGAATCACCTCTTTCTCTAGCAACATGGTCGAGGAGGCTTGTGACTTCAAAGCTGCCTGAATGGTCTGGATCTGCATGGAAACAGCTGATAACACTGCCTCCTCCAATCTATTAAACTCATCAAAGCAGCCCCAGGCACCGCACTTTACCAAACCAACAAATATACGGCCCATGCTCTTCACGTCGATGCCCTCGTCACAGTTGAAAACGAGAACCTGCCGTCCAAATAGGTTCCCAAGCGCTTTCACCGATTCTGTCTTGCCTGTTCCAGCTGGACCATAAGGATTACCACCAAGTCCCATGTGCATGCCCTGCATGAGGTGTTTGAAATATTAACAAGTGTCCATATCTCACTTGGATTGAATCCAATAAGAAAAACATGTATTTGTTTATTTTTTACTATTTATGATGCATCTTTTAAACTGTTGCTATTTAGATAATTTAAATAGTCAGTTTCACATACAACTTCTAAAACAAAATCAAAACCTTTCAGTAAGGCTTATATTATTTTCATACTAGATTGAGAATAGTGTGACTAATTACATTCAAGTTTTCAATATCAATAATTACCACATTGCAAATCATGTGACAATATTTACAGGTAAATATTAAACCTAACTAAGAGAACCCAAATAACACCTATCAATGAAACTTGCCTGTGTTAACGTTAAGTAGCATTTATCAGTCAATGGAGTGTGGACCAACTTTGGAGCATTGCCTTGATACTCATATGTATAATCAAACTGTGCATCAACCATCCGCATGAGAGCTGAACCACCATCGCCTAAATAGAATCTGAAACAAGATATAGCAAAATTATCATGGAAATTACATTCTGATTTAACAATTTATTGTCTTGTAATGTAATTCTAAGAGCTGAGTTCATTTTGTTACATGTAAAGAAGTAGATACATGATTTTAAATTAGTGTACTATACATATACACATATACATATAAACAACAGAAGCACACACACACTTAGTTCTCTTTTCTTTCCATCTCATCACTCAACCATGGACCTTCTCTCTCCCAGAAACTCATCACTCATCCAAATTGCTTTTCCAACTCTTTTATCAATCCTAAAATAAATTAAAATCATTTTTAATTACCGGAGCTGTTTCTGCCAGGGCCATTCTGACAAGGATGTTGTGTTGGCTTGCAGTAGGATCTGAACAACATCAATGTTGTGAATTGTGTCCAGAATCAATGCTTTCAACTTCAGTTCTAAAACAAGGCTGTCCACTTTGCCCTCAGGGGTGCCATCTGAGCTTAGGTCAACCCCTGTGTATGATTCCAATTTTGCCTGCAACAAAATTTTGATCACGTGTTACATCTAAGTCATAACTGGATAATAAAACTCATCTATCTGTCACTGTTTGTGTTATCAGTAAAAATATAATCACTATTATCTTATGTATTATGAAAGATGTTATCATTAACATTCATTTTTATCATAATTTTCTTCACTCCCAGTGTCACTGAGATTACCATTACCCCAGTGTTATTAAGCTCTCCCTGATTGTCTCATCATATCATGACCTTTCTAACAGGACATACTTCATCAACCAAGTTGCTCAATCTAAATAAACAGAGGATAAACTGGCATTCAGTACTTCCTCACTGATGGTCTAATTTTCTCCCTAAACACAAACCTCAAGTTCCTTCTGGTAGCTTGTCAGACTGCCCTCCCTGATAGACTCTTCACAGCGCTCAGTAAAGAGGATGGCATCTGCTAAGCACAGGATCTAATATGGGAGTAACATAGGAAGGAAAATTTTGTCATATTTCATAATTCACCCTTTTCAATTCAAAGTCAATAATAATTTTCAAAAATCTTCATATTTTCATAATATAATTGTACATTCTAAAACTTTACAACATAAATTTTACATAAATCATGTTAAGTATATTTTACATCTCATATGCAATAAACACAACAAACACCGACCAAAGCCAAGAAAATAATTATACCTGAGATGGATACTTGAGAGGGTCCATTCCTGCCTCACTGCGCGCTTCTTCGAGACATTCACTCAGCAACTGACGGAGTGTCATCTTCATCTCCTCACTTAAACGGAATAACCAGTCCTAAGGAGGAAATACTGCAGTTTAACATCTGCTATTCATTGCAAGTAAATGTTTATGGATTGAAATGGCAGAAGCAAAATTGTGTGTCAATGTTTTCAATACCAATTAGATTTTTTTTCATGTGTCTGATTATTCACATTTAGCAATTTCACATTTGGCAAGATGTCTTTCAGTACCGATTACTCACCAAATGCTAGGCTATCCAGCACTCCACATCTCATTTTTCAAACCACTCACCTCAACCTCTGTAGATATTTGAACAGGCCTTTTGAGTGGAACATCTTCTCCTTCTAAGCTTCTCATGGCTATGATGTGAGAGTTCTCTTCATCAAATCTTACATTGTGGATTCCAGCAAATAGTTTCTTCAAATGGGCCTGAGAAAAAAAACCAAAAAAAACATTCTGTTATAGTAAATGGGAAATTATCTAGTTCATACTTAACAAATATATATAATACAGGACAAAAAAGGAAAAGTATTAACTGGTTAAAATATTTTCCACAAATAATGCTCTCTATTTGTATTTTTCTCCCTATTTTTTTTTTAACTCAAGCCATAAAACAACCTAAAATATTCACTATCATGCACAAAGACACATTACAATTGTAAAAATGTTTTTTAAATGTCAGAAGAACCCTAGACTCATGCCCTTGTACCTGAATGACTTCAGGATTCGTGGCCTGACCCAAGATCTCCAGCAGATCATCGTCACCAATAAAGTAGAAGCGAGGGAAGGCTGATCTCTTTTCTTCCAGGTATTCATTAAGGCTCTTTTGGCATCTAAGAGGTTAATGGAAGTAGAGAATTAAGAGGAAGGGTTATTAGAATACTGAATATTACTACTGAAGTCTACCTTCATTTCAGACATGCAAACCTTAGCTGTTAGATGTTAGTGAAATTTCTGGTAATAAGAGTAAAGGCTAAAAAATGCAAGAGTGAATTAGTATAAGCTGGGTTATATTTCTCTTTGTTAAAGTCAGAGCATATAGACAATCCCACCCCTTCACCAAAAAACTCATGAATACAACTGCACAGCTATTTCATAAAGCAAATCAAACCACTCAATCAACTTACCTAGCCAGCTGGTCAAGAAGTGTCGTAAGAGTGTTTCGAATGCCATTGATTTTGCAGAGTGACACCACCTTATTATCTCTTGCAACATCTGCCATGATTGCTTTGAAGTCATCATCAACTCTACGAAATCTCCCTTGTTCATTGGGTAGTGCACCTCTTCCAAAGATGGGCTCTAAGTACACCCATTTTCTCTACAGATTGAAAAAGAAATATTATATCTGTAAGTATTTCCTAATGTAAATAAACTATTTTTCTTTTATTCTTAGGGATATTATGTAATAATATGTTTACATTTGTTTAAATATGCAGAAAAAATATATGATACTTTCATCAATAACAAACTAGTGCAAATAAACAAAACAAACAACAAATCAGCAAAAGTATGCATGAGAATGTAAAACATACCTGAATCTGATTCAAATTAGTCAGGTATTCATCAAGGTCAGCTAGGCGTTGCTCCCACATGCGAGCCCGATCTGCAAATCCCCCAAAGTAGGGCGAGTCTTTCAGAGACTGCAGAAGGCTCTGATGGTCACCAACCTGATTGAGAACACAAGTAATCTTTACTCAATCTGTTTTCATATATCATCACTACACATGCCAACAACGGTCTTCAGAAACAAAGAAGACACACTGACTAGTTCCAAATTAGTTAGTTAGTCAGTGATGAACCTGCAAAAACTAATTTACTCAATTCTCATTTCCTTCCATCAACCTCACAGATGGATAATGGGTTCTGTAACCTTTTGCCCTCTTTTATTTATGGCAATACTAGAGGGGTGGCAGAGGTGGCACCCATGTTGAAGAACTGCCCAATGTTTAACCACAGAAGGCTGACAAGGTGGACACTTGGCATATCTGTTCCTTCTGTCAGGATGATCAGTTACCATTGCTATCTGACTCCCAGGAGATCTTAGCAGTGCCTATCAATTTACGTGGCAAAGAGTTGAAGCCTCATTGTCTAGCTTTCTCTTAGACTAAGACCCAAGATTCAGGATTTTGGGAGTCTGGTAAAAGAACCTGTCCTGTCAGTATACTTGTAGCAAAGATATCAAATTTATACAAAGCTTTATATACCTTGGTAGTGTACTCCATGACTATGGACTGTCAGATCAGAAAGTTAATAAAAAGATTGTCCTGGCAGCAGCTGCAGTGAACTCACTCAACAAGAGGAATTTTAGATGACAGTGCCTGTGCAGAAGGACCAATCTATGTCTCCAATCTATGTCTCGACCCTTGGAGCCTTTTGCAATAGGCTCTTGCACAGGATCATAGGGTACATCTGATAGAACCATGTGTCCAACCAGCAATTACACCATGAGGCTGGTGTAGGACCTGTTACTTATGCAAATTGGGATCACCAACTCAGGCCATAAAGCCCTCAGGAAAATCCAGCCTACCACATTATCTCTTATGTAAGCAAACTTAGATGTGGATTGGCAAGATTGATCAGATATGTTGCAAGGACTTAGAGAGAGATAGGCTCTCTGTATACATGTCTTGCTGCAAACTAACATCAACAGAATAAGAACCTTTGAACCTAACCTTGTTAATAACATCCTTCCATTCCTTGATAAGCATGATCTCATTGCTGCGGGAGTCCGAGTGGGGGATGAGGGTGAGCCGTGCATCCACCTCCCACACATCCAGTTCTCCAAGGGCTTGCCGGATCACAACCTCACCTGCCGCTTTAGCATTCATCTCTTTTAGAACATCATTCTGGTTGATCATCTCATCACGGACCTGTTCCCAATAGAAGAGATAGTTAGTGCATGAGAAGTGTGTAAATATATATGGGATATTAATAAAGGGATTAATTTTGCTTTGATTTAGGAATATGATAATATCTGATGCCAATCCAGATTTTATTGGTAATAATCTTCATTTTGTTCTGTATTACAATAGGACATGACCCTTTTTATGTTGTTGCTGGTATGTGTATTTAAAATATCCCACAGTTAACAACTACATATAAAATACCTTCAAGAAATGTCCAAAAGTGAGTTTATCGATGGTGACATTGGTTGGTATGCCAAGAATACTATACATCTCTATCCAGTGCTTCTCAGAAAACACTTCTCCACGGACATACTTTAACACTGGTAACATTGCTCTATATTTTTCCAGTTCATGGATGAGCCGGACAGTTACAACTGTGGTTTCACCTGATGAACGAAGTTTGTCATCTGAAATATGAAAGACAAAATTAGCAAATCTGAAATAAGAATTATTTCATCGTGTCTATCTTCTTCAGATAAGAAAAAATGTCTATGGTTTCTTCTTAGAGGCTTTATTTCCTTATATTGTAAACCCTTGCTTACAGAATTCTATCCTTCATCATATATTACAAATTAATTTTAAACATCAATCAAAATCTACATTTAACTGCAAATTACCAATGAACTACAAAGCCTTTATTTCTTTTTTAGAATACTCAAAAATAAAAATTAACTTTAAAGAAGTAACATCTCAAGCAAATTTCTTCTAACAGACTTACTCCAATTGGCCAAAAACTCCTCAAAACGGTAAGTTTTGCTCCGGAACACAATCCATTCTTCCTTAGAAAACTCCTCCATGCTGCTGTTAAACTCATCAAACAGACCCCACACTTGCTCATGCTGTTTCAAGCTTTCTTCAATCTCGTCAATCATGGGGAAGTAAGGTTCTCCCATCCCAAAGTGCTCATAGTCTTTTCTGTCAAAAAGGAATATATGTGTAATATCATATAAAAAGTATTATTCTTATTATGTGCATGAAATTTACTTTCCAGGACAGAGTAAAAATTGATAATGTCACACCTATAAACTGAAAAACAAAGGTTATAGAAACAAAACTGATGATATAGTAATACTAAGGACACATAATTATTAAGCCCAATGACCTAGATGATGTGACCATCATGTCTTGAAAAAAAATTGACTTGAGGGGCAAGTGACATGAACATGCCATTCTAGGAAAATTTAGCTGTTGGCTAAATGCAAACTTGACATCATGAGCATTTCAGCTGAAAGCTGGGGTGACGGGAAAGACAAGTGCACAAAGCTCTTGGAGGGTGATTAGGCTCTTTGGCATTATTTTCATTGATAAACAAATGTGGAATGTAATGTCCCTAAGCCATGACTAAAAGAGTGCTGGCTCCAGGGAGGACACCATTTCTATGCCCAGGATCCTATTCCTGCCTGCAATGACCAGCGGCAGATGTATCAAAGAAAACTGAATATTTTAAAACAATCATAATTAAAATATACAATAAAAACAAAGTAGAATAACACCAAACCTGATACTATCACGTGTTTCCATCAGCTGATCCCATTCGAATCGTTTCTCACGTACAAGTGTGATGGCTGCCTGTATGCGCTCTGAATCGCCCTCCAGTTGGTCCTCCTTCGGCTGAAGCTGCTTCCACCTCAGACCAAAGTCCTCAACCTCATTATTGAAATTGTTGGTTTGGCTTTGAAGATTGGCTTTGATAGCTTCAATCTGTTCAAAAAGGAGAGAAATATTACAGGTGTTCCATTTTATTCTTTGATGCTAAAGATATGGTAAATGTTTTTTTCAATTCTATGAAGACCTCCTTGGCATAAAAATACATGAGTAGCATCATATACTCAGCAATGCATATGCATTCACAATCACAAAACTATCTTTCATATTAACAATGAAAACTTTATACTATCCTCTTCCCTGTCAGACAAAAACCTCAAACAAGGAGTAAAATTAATAAATTTTGCTCACAAATAACTTTGACATCCCACCTGCTTTGAAACAATCTGTTCATGGTTATCCATAAGTGTTTTGTAGTTATCCCACTGCATTGTGACACGAGACACCTGATCCACTCTCTCTTTTGTCCAGCTGGCCAGGGTCTTGTTCTTACGCTCAGCCTCATTAAAACGTTCGACCATCTCCTCTGTCTCTGCCATATACTGTGCGTGCTTGTTGCTGGCCTCTGCAATCTCTTCTACTGTTTGTGGCTGCCTTTTAAGGACCTGTTGGATATGAGATCCCATTCTTTAGGATGTGTTTGTGATGCTGTTGTCTCAAGAGTTTTTTATTTCTTTAAAAAAATTCTGTCATTTTGTGTTTGACTCTTTATATTTTTCCTTCATTCACCAGAGGTAAAAATCAGAAAAGAAAAGTATGCATATAACTCACTTCTATTGCACTTTCAGTAAATTTCTCAATGGCATTGATGTCCTCAATAATAGCATTATGTAGACTCTGCACCAGTATGTCCCAATAGCGGCGGTTCATAATCTCCAACTCAACACGTAATGGCTGGAAGCTGATGCTGAAGCAATCAATCTTTTCTTCCGTGCTTGGCAGTTTGCCTATTTCTTGGCCCTTGGCCTTTGAGGCTCGGAAGTTCCTGTTAATAAAGATATAAGTCAACAGAAAAATAGAATACAGCATAAATAATTTTTACCACACAGCCTAAAAGTATCAATATTATTTGAATATAGAGTTACTTCCACAGACAAAGTTTTCTTTCACACATAAGTACAATTACTATAATTCCCTGGTATTCAAATTATATAAATTTCTTACCTGTCCCAGTCTTCTGCAACTGTACAATGCTTTCCTACCAGCTGCTCAATGTCACATGACCCAAGGGCGCACAGGTCAACAAAGCGTTCCTTGACCTTTTCTAGTCTTTCAAAGAGCTCCTCTGCCCTCTGAAACAGCTGTGTGAAGCGGTGGGCATTTCGGTCGACAATGATGGGGAAAACGGGATGGTCATTCACTTCACTCACTCCCTGGTTGATTTAAACAAATGTGGAAATGTATTTATCAATTGAAGTATAACAAAATATCAAAAATAAGTAATTGTAAATAATGAAAAATAATAAAAAAAGAAATTATAAATGTTGATAACAAATACAATCTTATGAATAAATATAATGACAATACTACTAATAATAATAACAATAATAGAAACAGAAGCAGTAGTAGTGGAAGAAGTTGTAGTCATAGCAGTCATAGTAGTAATAGTAGTAATAGCAGTAAAAGTAGTAATAGTAGTAGTGGTAGTAATAGTAGTAATAGTAGTAATAGTAGTAGTAGTAGTAGCAGCAATAATAATAATAATAGTAGTAGTAGCGGTAGTAGTAGGATTCATAGTAATAATAACAATAACAATAATAATAATAACAATAATAATAATAATAATAATAATAATAATAATAATAACAATAATAATAATAATAATAATAATAATAATAATAATAATAATAATAATAACAGTAATAATAATAATAATAATGATAATAATAATGACAATAATAACAATAATAATAATAACAGTAGTAATAATAATTATAATAATAATAATAATAATAATAATAATAATAATAATAATAATAATATTAATAATAATAATAATAATAATAATAATAATAATAATAACAACAAAAATAACAACAATAATAGTAAAAAGGTAAATAATTACAAAAATTCCTGTTACTACAATCATTAATATTGATATCAATAATAGCAATAAAAAAATAACCATAATCATAATTACAATCATCATAACCATCATTATAATTAAAGATGACCAAAACAATTATGACCAATGATGATTTATCATTAACAGCATGATCAATAAGAACAAAAATCAACTCAAGAACTATAGAAAAAGGACTAAGTAAAGCCACAGCAAACCTTAAAGTGATAGGGAATTGCAAGGAACCGTTTCAACTGCCCATAATACTTCATACGTATTTCTTCCATGGGAGGGCGGAACTGCAGCCTCTGCTGCCTGTAAAGAAGGAAATGAAAAAAATTGTGTGTGTATATTTGTATGAATATATATGCATATACATATGAATATACATATGCATACATAGTTTTATATATATATATATATATATATATATATATATATATATATATATATATATATATATATATATATGTTTTTTTTTCTGTTTTTCTTTCTCTTTTAGCATTTTTCATTTTTTGGCAGATTTATTTTGGAAAAATATATATATATATATATTGTAGAAAGGTGTCTCAAATTTCTCAAATTTCACAGGACACGTGATGTTTTGGATAATTTTTCAGGGTAAAAATACATATCTTACATGGCAAAACATATGGTACATGAATTTTGTTTTTTTTCTAAGTATATATATTCAGTACAGAAATCTGAGAAAAAAATTACTATAACTAAAGCACGTAGAACACCCACGAAAAAGCACATATCACTGCAAAACTCACCTATATGTCAATTCCACCTTGAACTCTGGAAGGTGCTGATTAAGGGCTTCAATACCCAGTTGGTACTGATGCTCCAGAGCCTTGTACAGTTGGCGGTCCCAGTGTGAACACCAAGATTTCTGGTCGGAGAAGCCCTTCTCATCCAGCTGGTGCATGATTGACCTCATCTCCTTCAAGAGCTCCTTCCACTTAGGCTGGTGCCTCAAAAGGTCAGTGTTCATCAGCTGAAGTACCTGGAAGTCATTTATTTGTTTTTATTATTATCTTTAACTTTTACTTTTATCTTTATTTTATATTTATCAGTTTAGTTTATTCCTCTAATGTTATAAGTAACAGTTGCTGCCATACAGTAATCCTTATAACATATCTTTTATTCTCCAATTTGAGCAAAAAAAAATTAGGTTCAAGACTTATGTCAGAGAATTTTATTATTTCCAAAGCATAATGCTTTCTAAGCATTAATGTTATTCATGATATGTTGAACAACACAGCCTTGGAAAAAGTTTCCAATGTTTCTGGGCAATGTGTCTATATAACACTGAGCCTGTTTTGCCTAGGAGGTGCTGCTATGTGTGTCCATGATAGGTTGACAACAAGAGATTGGCTGCTATGATAAATATATAAATATCTCTTGTGACTCTTGTGAAAGATACTTTGTTTTTCAGGCATCCTCATATATTTTTATAATGTTTTACAAATCTGTGGGTAAAAATAGTTGCTCTGGATGCACAAGTAAACATGGCAGATTAGTTTTCGATATCCTATAAGACCACAATTTTCATATGAAATTGCCTTTTTGAGAATTTTTACAGACATTCCCAACAAGAAAGGCAACAACAATATGCAGATTAACACCTGTTTTTCCTAAGACAAGTACAGGTGAGTGGTTGTGGAAGTCCAAATAGCAGTCAAAGAATTAAAACATCTGGAAAACATAAATTTCTGCTTGGTAACATACACACCACAGGAAGAAGAAAAGGCAGAGAAACAGCAGAAACAGTGGAGAGAGAGGAAAAAAAAGAATGGAAGAGAGGAATGAAAAGAAAACAAGATCAAAAACTTCACCATCAAATTTTCCACTGCTTCTTAGAATCTCTTTCAAACATCAAACTTCCTACTCACCCGTTCCTTCACCA